GACTGGAGCAGTTTGCCATTTCCTTCTCCAACTCATTTTACAGATGAGGAAACTGAGGCAGAGTTAAGTGACTTGGCTAGGGTCACATAGCTGGTAAGTGTCTGAGGCCAGATTTGAACTCAGGAAGAGGAATCTTCCTGACTCTAAACCCAGCACTCTATCCGCTGTGCCACTTAGCTGCCCACTTATGTATGTACATGTATATGTATGTGTGTATATGTATGTGTGTATATGTGTAAAATTAGATTTATATATATCATTAGATCTATAGCTATATGTTTAAATATGTAGATAGCACAGATAGGAAGACTGATGACCTGGGTTTGAGATCCTTCTCTGCATCTGAGTTGCTGTTGAACACTGGGCAAGCCATTCGTTATTTTGGGCCTTAGTTTCGTGATCTGTAAAATGAAAGGGTTGGACTAAAAGAAACTAAAGTCCTTGCTAGCTCCTGACATTCTGTGAAGTTCATTCTTTTTTTCTCCGAAATTCTTAAAGGTCTGAAACAGGTATATTTGTTATTATAAATAATGGAAATAAAATAACTTATTTGATCATCTATTTTGTTTTCAAAGAGAAAATAGCCCTTGCTAACAGTTCCTGTTCAGAAATCTACTACCTTATTCCCATGATATTATAAGACTTGAGGAAATGAGCAATTTTCTCGTTATTGCTAAAAATGGTTGCTTTTTGCTCAGTTTGCTTTCATTTTTGTTTAAATTCATGTTGCATTTTATGGTTTATAGGGTGCTTTCCTCACAATAACTTGTTAGGTAGTTGTAGATAAAGATTTCTGTAACTATGGCCCCAGGAATTTAAATAACTTGCTCAGGGTTACACAGCTGAGTTATCATTTGACCTGGGACTCCTACCCAGCTTTCCTGACTTGAAGTCCAGCCTGATTTCCACTATACCCTCTCTGTATGCCACTATATGCCTCTCTGTAACTGACATTGATTGATAGGTTTTATTTTTCCTAGCAGCAAGGTAGAGTGGAAAGCTAGTTTTGGAGTCTTGAGAGCCTGATTTCAAATCTTAACTCTGCCACTGACTTCTTGTGTGGCCATAATCACTTCATTTTTCTGCATCTCACTTTCTTCCTCTATACAATGATGGGGATAGAAGCCCTTCTCCACCTGGTCTCTTCCAGCTCTGATTCTTTGATATACAGTCACTTGTTTTCTCCTCAGCATTAGCTGGCAAGCCTACAGGAGAATACATAATTTGTACCCATAAAGGACTGTACAAACAGTAGATTTTTTCTTTTAATAAAAGAGCTGCATAAAAACTGTTTGTACTCAAATTTGTAAGTCTCTAACACTGTTCTTTGACACAACCTAAATGTTAGGTCTATTTAGAGAAACTTTGCCTGTGAATAATCTTTTAACTTAAAACAATCCCTTTTCATAGCTTTATATATATATATATCAGATGAATGTTGCCCTTGAAAACAGAATCTTGCAGTTGGTGGTTAAAAAAAATATTGATTGACTATTCTTGTGCTTCTAAATATTCAAAAACTTTACACAGGATGATTGTTAACAGTATGCTTCAGAATGATCTTTTTGCTTAGATTTATTAACCACTGTACTGAATAAATCTCATGACTTTAGAAAATGGTGCCAAAGAGAAAACTGGCCTATGTGCTGTCTCTTGTATATTACACTCCATCTCTCATCTCTATCCTTTACACTGGCTATTGCCCAGACCTGGAACATTCTTTCCCTTCCAAATTTAAACTCTGAGAATCCCAGGCTTCCTTTAAGATTCAACTCAAACGGGGGCAGCTAGGTGGCACAGTTGATAGAGCTCTGGCCTTGGAGTCAGGGGGACCTCAGTTCAAATCCAGCCTCAGACACTTTACACTTACTAGCTGTGTGACCTTGGGCTTAACCCCTATGGCCTCACCAAAAAGAAAAAAAAAAAAGATTCAACTCAAAGAAAGGAAGAAAAAAATTTAATTAAAAAATAAAAAGACAACTTATATATAATCTACTCCAGGAGGCCTTTCCTGGTCTCCATTCTGTCCCCACCCCACACCTAGCTGTTAGTGCCATTTTCTGTAAGGTTGTCTTCCATCTGCTTTCTATTTATCTTGTATATCCTGATTTATATATGTTGTAGCCCCAACTAGAATTCTGGGAGCCAAGAATTATTTTTGCTTTTTCTTTGTATCCCCAGAGTGTAGCGCACTGTAAGTATGCACATAGTAAGTGCTTAATAAATGCTTGTTGATTAATTGAAAATCATTTTCATCTTGATATATACTTGCTGACCAGTTTCGTTCTTTAAAAAACAAAAAAACTAAAATAATGTTTTGAGATCTGCATTTATAAAGAACAACAATAACAACAACAACAAAAACAGAAAAAAACCAGGACTGTTGTTTTATAACATATCTAGGTTTGACTTGTAAAGGAACGTTTTAAGATAAAGATGCCCCATTTTTGCTCTCTTCTATTGCAGTCAAACTCATTATCCCCTGGGTTGATGTTCAGAAGCTAGAAAGAACATGCAATGTCTTCATGACAGACACCATCCGCATTACCACGCAGAATAAAGAGCGAGATTTTTCCATGTTTCTTAACCTCGATGAGGTATTTAAGGTGATGGAACAACTGGCAGATATGACACTGCGAAGGCTCCTGGATAATGAGATCTTTGAACTGGATCCAGACTTGCAGGAGCCAACCCAGATTACCAAGAGGTAAAGGCTTAAATGGATCTTTGGGAGGAACACATTTACATCTATGTCTTTTATTTCATTAATTATGCCAACTCTTAAAAATGTAGGCTTGGGGATTATATCTTGTTTTCATTACCTAAATGTTTTTTTGCTTTTCATCCAGAGAGCTCCATTCTTAGAAATGACTGTAATTTCAGGTGTGCCATAGATTTTTGTACTCCAGGTTGCTTCCCTTATGTTTTCATATTTTTTTTTTAAAAAGGGTTGCTGTAAAATACAATTTGGATAGCCTGTGAAGGGACCCTAAAGCTCTCTGTTCTCTTGGGGAAACTGGAAATGGTTCAGAAAAACCTGTATTTTCAGAACTATTTTTTAGAAAAGATTTTGGTTGGTCTGATATCTCTTCATTTTTGTGACAAGTTGTCCTTTTTCACAGCCCTGTAGCTCACCATTAATAAAAATTAGCATTTTTTATTTGTGCCCTGAGTACATATAGTTCCAAGGCATAATAATAAGGTTGGTAACAAATCAAATGAGTTACTTCATGCCCTGCTTGTCCCTTTAAGGAAACCAAGTTCAAATTTCTGGCCTGAAGTTCAAACCAGGGTTTGAACTTGACTGTGGTTTCTGACTCTGGTTTATTACTGACAGCTGGATAGCTGCAAGGCTATTTCTTGAACATAATTTGAAAAACTGTTTAATTGGCTATTTTGGCTATACTTTTTTAAAAGTTACACAATTACCCACAGTTTGACTGATAGTAGTTTTAGGAAGTTCCTTCTTTTAATTTCCTCTTTTTAAAATTTTAGTGACTTTTCTTGAAAAAAAAGGAGATCCAAAGAACATAAACCTGTTGTTTTTGGGTAGTAGCCAGTTCATAGAATCCTAGGATTTAGAGTTTAGAGTATTTGGTACTTCCATAATAATAGTGTCTCTGACTTTAAAATAAAGGATGTTTAAGTCCCTTGTTGATTAGTGACATCAATTGTAAGCCTATAGTTCATAAGAACTATAGCAAGACCAGGAAATATTAATACAGATATACCTCAGAAATATTGTGGGTTCAGTTCCAGACCACCACAATAAAGCAGATATCACAATAAAATGAGTCATGAATTTTTTGGTTTCCAGTGCATATAAACGTTATGTTTACGCTATACTGTAATGTATTAAATGTTCAGCAGTATCATGTCTAAAAAAAACCAATGTACATACCTTAATTTTAAAATATTTTATTGGTAAAAATTGCTAACCATCATCTGAGCCTTCAGCAAGTCAATATTTTTGCTGGTGCAGGGTGTTGCCTTAATGTTGATGGCTGTTGACTGATCAAGGTGGTGGTCGCTGAAGGCTGTGGCAGTTTCTTAAAATAAGACAACAATGATGTTTGCACATCGATTGACTGTTCCTTTCACTTGGAACACTTAGAAGTCATTGTAGGGTTATTAATTGGCCTAATTTCAGTATTGTTGTGTCTCAGAATAGGGAGGTTCAGTCTGTGGAGCAGTCAGAGCACACCCAACATTTATCTTTTTAATTCACAGTCTTATATGGGCATGGTTCGTGGTGCCCCAAAACAATTACAAAAATAACATTAAAGATCACTGATCACAATCACCATAAAAGATGTAATAATAATGAAAAACTTTGAAATATTGTGAGAATCACAAAAATATGACACAGATACGATGTGAGCAGATGCTATTGGAAAAATGGCGCCAATAGACTTGCTCCATGCAGGGTTGCCACAAGCTTTCAATTTGTAAAAAATGCAATATCTGTAAAGTGCAATAAAGCAAAGCACAATAAAACGAGGTATGCTTGTAATATCCTGGATATCATATCATCTCTCTTGGCTTCACCATTGCCATGTAAGATAGGGAAAGCCAGTTATGCTCATAACAGATGACAGAAATAAGACAGAGGTTATGACCTAGCTCCAACAATACATTTAGTTAGTACAGGAACCAGAATAAGAATTCAGGTGCTCTGACTCCCAGCCCACTGCTCTTTCTGCTTATTCATCAGCCCTGAGTTTGACATTATGTCCTCATTTTAAAGGGAACTTGTGTTCAAAGGAGGGTCAGCCACCAAGATTCCCTCTCCTCCATGGTTTCAACTCAGCATGACCCTAGTAGCTATAGTTCATGAAGCCACCTACCTTTTGTTTCTTTAAGATTGAACAAAGTCAAACCTAACTTGTCACTTCTATCTTTGTGTCTGTGTATTGCTCCACTTTTAATAGTGTGGGTGAAGTAGAAGTATTTTCTTGTCATATTAACCACTAAGTCCAACACTGTCAAAATGAGGAGATTAGATAAGACCTGAGAAACAGATGTCTAATTCTAAAGGCATGCCACCATAGTTAATAGTCAAATTTGGCAGATCATACATTTGGGGCAAACATTTGTTTCTCTGGTCTTATTGGGAAATAATAAAATTAAAACATTTTTGTTGTTATTCAGTTGTTTTCAGCTCTTTGTGATCCTATTTGGGGTTTTCTTCACAAAGATAGGGGAGTGGTTTGCCATTTCCTTCTCCTACGCATTTTACAGATGAGGAAACAGATGCAAACAGGATTAAGTGACCTGCCTAGGGTTATGTAGCTAGTAAGTATCTGAGGTGGGATTTGTACTTAGGTCTTCCTGACTCCAGGCCCAGAGATTTATCCACTTCAGTACCTAGATGCCCCAATTAAAAATATGCCAAAGAACTATTTGGGGATGTCTGTAAGATAAACTTTGGTTTCCATTTTTAGCAGTAGAAAGGAGTACAATAACACCTCACCCATCCAAAACTCAACTGTCCAACAGACTTATCTTCAGCATAACCAACAGATAACACACAGAAGACCTCTGAACAAAATGTATGTAACTAGTCTGCAAAGGCACTGCTTTGTAACCAAGAATGTCCTTGTTATACTTGATAAAATAATAATAACAGCTTACATTTACGTAGTAATTTGAACTTTTTGGCCAGACCTTATAAGAACTGGAAAAAACCACAAATCACTTCTTTCACATTTCCTGATGTTCAGTGTCTCTAGTTAGTAAGTCAACAAGTGTTTACTACATACCAGGCTCTGTCCTACTCTCTGAAAATACAAATAAAGGCACAAACAGTCCTTGTCTTCAAGGAGGTTACAGTCTAATAGGGAAGATAATATGCAAATAGTCACATGTAAAAGAGGTATGCGCAGGATAAATTGGAGATAATCTCAATTGCAAAAGCTTTGAATCATGAGTCTTAGAGCTGAAGGGGACTTTTTGCTAGTTTTATTTTTGGACAGAAGTAGGAGAAAAATAGAAGAAAAGCCAAGACGGTAGTTTCTAGAAAACTTTGAGTAAAATTATTAGTTCTGAAAGTCAGGGAAAAGTTTAGTACTTATATATTGTGCCAGTTCTCATTCTTGACCTTCAAAGTTCAGGTACACCAAGATATACAGATAAATGCTTAACAAATGAGTCTCCAGAAAAAAATGACACATTTTTCAATTTAATCTGTATTATCAAAATTTTCTCTAATACCTTCTTAAGTCTATATAATCAACAAAACAATAAATCAAACCCCAGATTTGTAGCATTTGTCAATTTTTGAAATGTAAATGTTCACACTAAAAATTTAATAATCAGCTCTTTCAAACTGGTCAGGGTTGCCTCCAGCACACCCAGAGGAGCAAGAAATAAGGACAGAAGAGGATGAGAGACAAATAGTATAAATAACAAGCAATGGTAGAAGTGTGACCTAGAGTTGCTGAAAATGTGTATGAAACATCTCATGCAAAGAGCATATTTGACATAATAAGGGGAGAAATGTACTCTGCTCAGGAAAAAAAATATGTGTATATATATATTGTTTTCCAGTCATTTTTTCCTAAAAGTGAAAGGTTGTCTTACTACTTAACAAATATGTACTCTCATTTTTTAAAATTTAAAATGTACATGTGTATCTACCAATATACAGGGCAGGATGTGGTCCCTGGTGTTCTTGGCTTCATAGCTGGCTCTTTAACTCCTATATCAGGTCCCTCATTAACTACTTGTTCATGGGTGGTTGATTTTGTTCTTTGCTTTTTTTATTTTTATTTTTGAGGCATTCAGAGGTAAGTGACTTACTCAGGGTCACATAGCTAGTAAGCTAGTCTGAGGCTGGATTTGAACTCAGGTCTTCCTGACTCCAGGGCCAGTGCTCTGTCCACTGCTCCATATAGCTGCCACCTTGTTTTCTCTGCTTTTAATAGTAATATCTAGAGGGTGAAGGCAAAAACTTTTTCCCCTCCTACATGTATTTTTGTAGTTTAGTTCCTAGTATAGCATGGGTGCTCCAGATGTATTGATTTCTGAGACTGCTTGGGAGACATAAAGTAAATTTAATTTGTATTCTGTTGCTTACATTGACAGCTGCTTTACTCAGTTCCATAAGCACACACTTGGGAATGTGTAAGACTGAAGTTTATGCTGCTTAGC